ATTTCAAATAGTCATAACAATTCCCTTAAACCCACTTCAGCAATATGGCTTAAATACATTTGATCCAGACAAGAGTTAAAGTAATTAGCTGACATTTGATTTTACTTGATATGGATCCAAACCATGAAACTTTGAACACCCTAAGAGTTCAGAAGTATTTCATTCAGTGTTTGGGTACTAGTCTGTGTTCTCAAGTAACCTTTTCAAACTTGGCAAATTTAATCCCAGTTTTAAAATAAAAAAGCAACATCAAGGGAATCAAGTCTGTATTTTTTCTCTAAATATGAGATGCTCTAGAGTGTAGTTGTAGAAGCAGCAAGCAGATGGAATAGAAAATGTGTTTTCTGTATAAAGGTATGTGTTTGTGTTTATGTGCGGTGTTCGCACCCAGGTACATACTTATGTGTCTGTACAAAACATTGCTCCTTCTCCAAGGACCTTACAATCTGAACAGACAGCCGGGGCAATCATGGGCTTTGAGACCCAGAGGATGGTGCTAACTTAGAGCATGTGTGCATTTTTGATTTTATGATGTGACGACAGCAGTGCTCTGACACTGGTTAACATTTGTGGGCCTTGTGGAGGGAGTGAGTTTCCATGAGGGGTCTGGCTAGAGGAAACCTGCCTGCCTGGCACACAGAGTTGAAAAGGGTGTTCCAGGCAGGGTTGAAATAGAGATGTGAGAACTGAGAGTAGCGTGATGTTTTACACTGCGTATCATGCAGCTGGTAACTTGGAATGTGATTGACCGTGTTTTGAAAGCTTGTTATTTTTTCTTGCACTTTAATACAGAAGGAAAAAGAAGAGGTTATGAAGAAATTCAAAAGGAAGTGTATAGATGTTTCTGCTGAACACAGAGGTGTTCACTTCCTCCTTCAAAGAGAAACTATATGAGAATTGAAAAAATTGTATATGACAAGAATATGTTGTATTTGCTGTGTTAAGAAACCAAGATGGAAAAGGAAGACTTTTGGGGCAGGGAGGATTTTGTAGGATTTAATTATAGCCTTTGTACATAGGGGCAAAGAGAGAAAGTTAAGTTGGTATCTTCAAGATGGCATGCCTATGTGACACCAAAACCAGTGCTACAGTATTTGATTTGTTAAAGTGTATGTTCAGTGTCCAAGTAATTTAGTAGTAGATCATCAAATAGATCACCAAGTAATTTAGTAATAGATTATCATATCATGATTTTCCCTGCTCTGGGACAAGTTGAATTGACAGAAAAGTCACAGAAGTCAGTATGCTTCCAATGAAGCTCGGAAAAGATTACAAGCAACAACAAAGTGGAAGAATGCTGATTCCGTGATACACACTTCACAATAATTTACTGTATGCGAAATACCTGAAAATTATTCTGTTTGGTGCCTAAGCAACACAATGGGCAGTTTTCAGATTCTTTCATAAAGTTTACTCTCTGTATTACAGCATACAAATCATATTCTCTCCCCTTACCATTGTATAATTCATCAGTGATTTTTTTTCTTCCTAATGTGGTAAGAAAAGAAAAATATCTGATGCTTTTTTAGGTTTTTATTATAACTTAGTAACTAGGAGAGCAGCAGGGAAGGTCATCACTGTGACCATTAACTATATGACCACCTTGAACTCTGTTATTGAAATTCAATGTATGACTTTAATAATCATTCATTTAAGTAACAATACATGTGTCACATCTGTAATGCCTCACATCTGAGGATTTTCACAGTTGACAAGTTTTGATGAACTGAATCTCACAGCATTCCTATAAGAGGGGGAAAAAATACAGGCATAGAAATTACAAATCATGTATTAAGGCTGCTCAGGAGATAAAGGAGAGTCTAGATATCATGGTTTGGGGAACCTACACACAAGTTAAAATTTTGGGATAAATATATACAACTTACAGAATTACTATATTATTGAACTCTTTTATATATCTTGTGTTGACCTTAAGCTGTGAAGGATGTGCTCTCCATCTCCTAAACAAATGATAGCACAGGATAATGGAGGATCATTTTATGCTGTTAGCTCCTTTTCATGTGACTATGTTAGGACAGAGCTATGGCTGAAGCCCAGGCGAGTCAGCATAATTAAGTTTGTCTGCAGAACAAAGGGTTATCAACAAAGACATCTTACCAGAAATAGAAAAAAGAGGTACTTGAGGAGAGTAATATGTGGATAGTCATCGGTAAAGGGAAGTTGGATAGTAGAGTCAAACTGAGACACATTTGATAGCCAAGAAGTCTGAATTTTAATAGGAGTCAATGAGGGAAGGTGGACATGAGACCTACATGGACACTACAAATGTATCCGCTCAACAGCATGATCCCTGCTCCCCAAACCAGAGTATTGAGAGTAGTAGCCTTTAGCTATACCCATGCTGTTCAGCAATTGGCCTGGCCCTAAGTCATAACCATATATATCCTTCTCTCTGTTCAGAGTTCCTGAAAAAATGCAAGGATTGCACAGCATGCTTGGATCATGGGTTTTTATGACAACTGTCATGTGTTGGGTGGTGTGAGTGTAAGGGGTACCCACTAATGAAAGGGCTACCCAGGTGTAGGGGGTGAGTCCTTCTCCAGACTGCTAGAAAAGGGTACAAGGACTGTATGGCAGAGTGGTGCAGCCTTGTTCGTGTTGCCTACTTGGAGGATTCCTTGGAGCAGACTCTCCCCAAGGGCATATATGAGTTATGTTTTGGAAGGAGTTAGTTCACTCCAGAGGAGAGCATCGGGCTGGAGTGACAGCTACACAGGGTGGACAGTCAAGGCTGAAGCCTGAAGTGAACTGGGGAGCTGTGTTATTTGATGTCAGTATTGCATAGCTGCTCAAGAGGGATATAGAGGAAAAAATAAATCTTTGATTTGGAGAAGAAAAAACATGCTGTGTATGAGATCCTGACTTCAGCTGATTCAAACTCCAAAAAACACTTTGGATGGTGAATGAATTGAGGCATCTCGCATCTTTACTTTTGCTTTGTTCCTTTTAATTCTTTTGTTAAAGTACAGGCTTCTCTGAGGAACCTTGAACAAGCTGGAGGTACAGATTTACTGAGAGTGAGATGCAAGGAGACTAAAAGGGGATTCAGAAGTCGACAGGATTGCCCACCATGTGTTAAGCAACAATTGCTTTGGAGTACATGGTCACATATTATTTGATGTGGTTACAGATAGGCAATCCTTGCCAGCTGAGATGAGGGATGCATCCAGGCCTAGCTCATCATCTGTTTGTTTCTTTTCTTGTATGTCTTTGAACATGTGGACTGTGAATGAGAATAGCTGCAAGATGAACTGTAGGAAAAGTTATATTAGAGGTCTTGTGGGCAACAGGAGATGGGAACTGGTTTAGGAGTATAAGGCACCTGGTCTGGTAGGGTGTGTCATTACAAAGGTGTTAACAGAGAGGCAGAGAGTCGTACATATACCATAGAGGGCAAGGATGCTATACCCATCAGGAGGATCTCACCAGATGAGCTTGGTGCCAGAGGACTCCAACACTCAGAAAGGGTCCCACTGGCTGAGCTGTTTCGCACCGGATTGCTTGGCTTCTTGTCCTGCCTGCTACCTACTAAGATTATATGAATACTGTTGTGCGGAACTTGGAGAGGCATGTGTGGGGGATGGGAGCAGAGAGGGAGTGGAATGTGGTGTGCAGATGTGTGAAGGTGAGAGTAAAGCTTATCAGCTACTGGTTCCAGAGTGTGGTGGGCTTTTCCTTTTTACTTTTCCCAGCTCTGCTGGTGAAGTCATCCATTGAACAACCTCAATTACCCATCCATACAAGATAAAAGTACCAGAGTGCTATGTCAGGGTGTGAATACTTTTAAATATTTAAAAATATAACAATTAAACAGTCTTTGCTCTTTTTTGGCCAGCTGCCCTCAGAGTGGCCTCTATTAAAAAGCTCTTGAGACCCTAAAGACACTTTCCTTGTGTTGCATAATATTTTTGTTTTGTTTCCAGTAAACCAGGTTTGAACTGACAAATTTCTGTGAAGTCCTGTAGCCAATTTAATATTTAAAACAGACCTGTTAAGTTATGGTGGTTTCAGGAATGTCTTGAGCCATCCTCCCTCTGCTAACCTGCTGTGCTGAGTCAGTGCCCGAGAAGGAGTTGACAGCCTGTGGGGACAGGGGAGTGTTCTGCAACTCTACAGAAAGGCAGGACAGTAAAAGATCATAAGGGCAAAGAGTGATGCAGCTAAGGTTGGTGTTGAAGTATCAGTCAAGTAATTTAAAAAAAAAAAAAGAAAAAAAAAAAAAGAGAATATAATTAATTGAAGACACAGCAGCTGGTGACCTAAAGCGGTAATCTGCACGAAACACCTTCCTTTGGTAATGTCTGTGCATACAGTTTTCAGCCCATTCTGGGTAGAAACTTGTAGAAAAAGGCTCTTAGAAGCTAAAACTGCTACTCTTTTTTGGAAAAAATTGTCTTGACATTCTCATTAGAAAGACCAAGAAGAGACTGCAAAACAGCTGTTTGAGTACCCCGAGAGCTATGGGACAGCATCCTTTGCTAGTGCTGTACCTGTACTGTAGAGAGTTCATTACTCTTAATGTTGCTCTCTTCACAACCCAGAAGTTGCATTAGTGTGGTTGCTGGATTTCCATGGACATATCATTCCAGGTGCATATATCAGGGTGCTGATGTTCTTATATTTTGCTGCTGTGTGTGCTTATGTGCTCAGCTTCAAACCAGAATTCAGCACCTGGGTTTTGCTTATGTTGTAGTGGTAGACGTTATATCGCTTGGTTTCTGCTTGCCTGTATCTTTATTTAAAAAGTGCGTAAATTCATTAAATCGCCCTACATACCATTTAAAATATAGAGGTTGTGTTTCTTTTTATTCACTTGCCAGTGCACATGTATGAGAATGAGTGCACTTTCAGAACCTTCCTTTCAAAACTACTTGTAATCATGCAGGAGATAAGTAATGCTTGAGAGGGAAGAGGACATCCAGCCAAAATAATTTCCAAATGATCTTAAAGTGTAATTTATCTTCTTATTTTGCAGCTAGCTATGGACAAAATCCAATTTGCAAAGGCTGTTTATCTTGTTCAAAGGATAATGGGTGCATCAGATGCCAGCACAAGTTATTCTTCTTCCTACGAAGAGAAGGAATGAGACAATATGGTGAATGCTTGCATTCCTGCCCATCAGGGTACTACGGACTCCGAACGCCAGATATGAACAGATGTTCAAGTGAGTTTGGTTTTTTTGAACACTTACATTCACTTTTATAGGAAGGACATAATTCACGCTCAGTATTTAAGATGATATGTTGTGGAACATGATGATATTTTTACAGATGTCTCAAGATCATCATAAAAACTTCTTTGCTAAGGAACGTCCCAGCTCATTCCAAGATATGTAACATTCAGCCGATTAAATAGTTGATGCATTAACCTAGTTTTTATCGTTGTTGTTATTTTTATTGTTATTATTGCTTTAGTTAGAAGGGAAATTTAAGAAAGAATGGTGATTTAAGCCAATATTCCTAGTTTTAACAAACATGTTTCCATTATATGAAAATAAAAAGGATTAAGCATTAAGTGCTTCATGTAGGTACTAGTCCGTATATGCACTGATATATGGGTGGGCTTCTTGTCGTGCTTTTTGTTCCCACACAAATTTCAGGTGACCAGACACCTCACACCAGACATGCTTTAATATGCAAGTGTTGCTATTTTCATAAAACAGATGTACTATTAAAAACAAACAAACAACCTTTCACTTTTAGTACTGCATTTTATTTGGAAATTTACAACCTGCTAATGTGCAACAAGATTCCCTGTTTGCATGTTTGTGCCTAGAAGCACAACTCTTAAGACCAATGAGTGCTCTGGTATCTCTATACATTATGTCACTGCTGTCTGGCAGTTGTACTGATATTGATTTTTCCATATGCTCATATGTGGAGTATTACCTGTATGGATTATTAATCATTGTTATTACCTCTAATTCGTATTTTTGTGGGGAGAGGGGAGCGTGCGTGTGTGTCATAGCCTACCCAGAATTAGGTCACTGAACCTAAGAACCTGACGTGAGAAAGAGCTTTTCTTTTCTTCCTGGAATAATCAAGTGTCTGTTAAATGCAGAGCGCTCTCCCCCTCAGTACTGCGACATGTCACTGGGACACACCGTGTTGTGAGAAAGCGGGTGCTGGCTTTCACATCACACGTAATCTTGAGACCCACGTGAGGTCACTCCGTGGCAGTCCGGGCTGGAGGGGGAGCACTCCTGGCTGTGCTCTTGGACCTGTCCCGGCCCATGCGATGACAAACTGCCTCTTTCTCCCCATTCCCTGCGCGAGCTCCGTGGATATGGTGTTCTTCACATTGAGTTCCCAACTGCTGTGTAATATTGCTGAGTGCTGCCTAATCTGTACCAGGTGGCTAGGTTTTGATGAAAAATTAAATGAGACCAGTACATGGTTTATGTATCCCTTCTGTAAAGGAATTTAGGATCTTGGCCTTAATTTTCATAACACGTTTGTGAATTCAGCAACTCATCCACTTTAGACCTTTCAAAACTAGGCTGTAAAAACTTGCCTGTGTAAAAATGTTTTTAAATATAGTTACAGTTTTGGGAAATAAATGAATTTTTCTATATTAGCCTGTGCTTGTGAGATAGGAAAAGTAGTCTGTACTGGCAGCCTGTCTTTATTTTCTTAAAAAGAAAAAAAAAAAGTTATTTGCAGAAGGTGGATGGCGAATTCAATATAACTTTTCTCATTTTTACCACTTACAGAAAGTGGTCTTTTTCCCTGAATCACAGGATTGGTTTTGAAAAGCATAAATGTGAGTTGTGTCCAACCCATATTGGCATGTGTTGAGCGCTGGATATTTAACTTACCATCATGCCTTTGACATTCTCCCCCTGTGAGAATAATGGTGCAGTTGCATTTACTGACCAGTCCTGGTTCCCCTCCAATGATTTTTGTATTGTATATTTTTATTTTAGTGTAACTGCCAACTGGTGTATTTATAAATCACATCTTCATTTTTGTTCTTGGTTTGGTGATCTTGCATAGCATATCCACTGCATTGTGGACACACAGACATTTTGTGGATTGAAGTTGAGTTAAAATAAACATTCTTAAAAAATAGAATTAGTTTCTTCCTACTTGATGTTAGATACTTTTAGGTATGCTTAGTAACAGACTTCTGTGCCCAGATCGTATTGTCTCAGCTAAAAATAATAAAAATTCTGGCTATGTTAAAATCCTTCTGGGAGTTACAGGGCTTGAATTACATAAGTTGAAATGATTTCTGCCCTATTAATATCTTTATAGGCACAAAAGCTGTTTAACATTTTATTACTGAAACACTTGCCCATTTTTGTTAGAGAAGCTATAAGAACATATTTTTATGGAAAATGTTGACATGATTTTAAAAGCCAAACATAGATAGTGCCAAATGTAACACAATAAATACCACAGCCAAGTGCAGCAGCTCTAAGATGATGGAAATTTTGAATTTCAGCACTATCTTTTCTACATGTAAGCAGTATGTGTGTCTTGAATCTGCTAAGTGGTTCTAGACTGTTTTTCTAGTAGCAGTGAATCATGTAATTTTGAGACTGCTTTTCTCTTGAAATCCATGTAGAGTTTCCTTCTGGAGATTATTTTCTTCCTGAATACTGCAGTATGAGAATGCAGTACATTTGGACACAAAATTGGAAAGTGTTGAGTCTCTTCTGTAGAAGAATACCCAAGAGAAGAGCTACACTTTGTTAATTTTCCAAGAAATTTTAATAATTAATGACTTTATTTCTTGTTGGAACGGTTCAGTTTAATCTCCTGAGAAAAAAACAGAACTGAATTAAGGAGTAACATGAAATCTATCACCTGGGTGGTTGGTTTAACATTGGTCTGATTAATGGATCCAGCATACCTTGAACCTTTCAACTTAGTCCGTATCCATAGTAACCTCTACAATTTTAGGGGAAGGAAGCACTCAGAGTTTAGAAATTACAGCTCCCTTCAGCTTTCGTTGGCTACTCCATTTGTTTAGGTTCACCTTCTTTCTTACAGGATGGCCCAACATTGCTAAAACAGTAGTTTCCCTTTCCATGCGCCTTAAGTAAAAACAAGATAAAAGAGAAGCTTTTAAGCAAATGGAGCATTTATTAAATGCTTGTAGTTAATTCACTGTATTAAGAAAGGTAATGTTTTTTTTTTTTTTAACTTTGTTACAAAATAGCAAGACATCATTAATATATCATGGCTTGACTATTTCTTATGTAGCATGGAAGAGCATATGACCTTCTGAGTCTATTGTAGCCAGTGCAGTTGTAACTGTGTGTCAGAGGGTTCAATTACCACAGAGGCAGCACTATATGCTTTAAATAAAGTAATTTTTCTGACTTTTTAGAAAGAGTTTTCATTACTTTTATGTTTGTTTCCTTCAAATATGGCTTTATCTTTTAAAAACAAGCTTAATATAGCATTTAGGATTTTGAAAATTAAGTTGGATGGCCAGAAATTGAGGTGTAGCTATCATTATTTTATAGGCATTTATTTATCTTCCTTGTCTCTTCCACTCTGTTTTCCTCCTTCAAATGGATTTGGATTTTTTTTTTATTTGGAATTTTTTGATTTCTGGCCTTACATTGTATTTTGGCAGAAGACTTTTGTTCATCTGGCAACAAAAATCATCATAGTGCTTTGAATTAAGATTTATTAAATCTGTAGTCAATTAAGATTTAATAGGGTAATTGTATATTTGTAAAGTACTAATTGAAAACACTGTGGTTTGGCATTTATTTAAAAGATGTCAACTAATTAATCAAGATTAGAATATACTGGAAATGTATTGCCAAGTGTTTATCAAGTGAATTTATTTTAAAAAATATCCTCACTATAGTATTTTATAATTAGGATGTTGTATTCCAAGCATTGCTCTCCATGAAATGGTAGAGCTGTGGTAAACTTCAGGACCTGTTATGGTCAAGTGACTGTGTGTATCGTGTTCAGCCCCTGCCAAAGTTGTACCTTAAAAATCTTTATATGTATAATAATAATAATTGTGGTGATGATAAACCTGCAACTACCTAAGCCACATCTGCTTAGGAGGTTAAATAGCTAGCTATTATAGACATTCCCTTGTACGCTAAAGCTCTTTTGCTTATGATTTTCCTCCTCTCCTTACTGTCTCCTCAGTGGCTTTCCTGAAAGTTTTGACCTCTCTTCTCTTTCCATTGGTTGTTCAACAGATAACTTCATCCACTATAAGAAAGGCTCACATCATAGCTTTCTTCAGCATTTTGCCTCTGTCTCCTGCTCTTGTTAGCACTAGCACAGTCTTTGTCCCTCATGTGCCCTTGTGTCCTCAAGGTGAGTTACGTGTAGTCTGTCTGGATTTTTGAAGTCTCTCCCAGCTCAGGAGATTCTGGAGAGGATTAGCACAGAAGGTGGTGCTCATCAGTGACAGATTGATGTGGAGTGCCAACAGGCATGTCGGGATGGCAGACTGAAGTCTGTAGCACCAATGCTGTTTTACTGAGCAGCAGATGGATGGGAGCAGGAGTTGGAAGGAGTGAATATGATGGGCATGGGGATAGGTGAAGTTAGGAGGTTCTGGGGTGGAAGAAGCAGAGAGATCTGAGGCAAGAGTAGGGCGCTGTGAGTCAGAGCTCAGTGTGAAAGACCAATATATTAGGTGCTTTCGACAAAGCAACAGTTGTCACTCCTTGGGATAACCAGCCTCACAAGTTATGGGCCAGGAGGCTCCTCTGGAATCATGCCTCAATGGAAAGACTGAGTTTGACCTTGAAAAGGAAAACACTAACTGTAGTGAATCATCATCTATTACTTTGACTTCTTAAACACAAGGGGACGCCTCAAGCGTGGACCCGATTTCAGTGCAAAGACTATCAAGCTTCAATTTAGGAATGCCACGTTTCCTTCCCCAGCTTCAGTCTGCAGCTTCTCTTTGCAAAATATGATCATTGCCTCTCCAGGTATTCAGTACAGTTCTCTTTCTTACACTGGTGGTTGCCGGTTTCCACTTGTGCAGATCCCCTCATGTGTTCTCGCTTCCCTTTCCCATACTCAAATGCTCTTCACTGGTGTCCACATTTCATGTGGAGCAGAACTTGCTGTGAATCGTCATTGTTCTTAACATTACTAGGAATTGACCAGCTGTCTCTTCCATTACATGTACTACGAAATATCTTTGTTATGAAGGGAGTTATGGATG